TAATATTTCCGGTTTATTATATTTTAAGCTTCCCAAAAGATCTTAATCAGCTTTGTTTATGTTTTGAACTTCTTTAAACCGTATTCCAAAAGTTAACATATTTCACGTAGTTAGCACATATAAAATGTTTCAAATACCTTGCCATGAATCTTTAATGGGTTATGTAAGTTATGATTTCAGTGTGCACAGACTTAAAATCGATGGTTCGGAGGATACCATATCTGATGACGTGCACACGCTGACAGAAAAGAACATGTTAACTCAACTCAAATTCCAGTAGCAGGCTTTGTGTTGGTTAATAAATTTGTTTTGTCAGAAAAGAAATTCCCCATTCGTCTTAACCAAAAACATTTTGAAATCTGAAAACAAACTATCTCTCATCAAATTGCCAAAATTAAATCCCCTCAAAGTTAGACAATTAGCCTTTGTACTTATGTGACAAGTGATTATGTGTGAACGTAACCAAACTGAGAGAATCGGTAAATATATGACCATTGTCTAAAGTAAAGAAACCCCAGCCAACAAAAAAAAACATCAGTCAACAATAAAATCGCTAATAAAATAGAGACCAAATATAAGGTGTATCAGTTCTCTGAAAAAGTTTAAGAGTGCGTGCGTGGTGGTGGGGGGGGGGGGGGGTAATTTGGAATTGATTTAATAGAAATGAATTGTTGTTTTGTGAGCAGATTGCTTATTTCGAATTCCAACTGTCAAGCGTTATTTTCCTTGGGGTTTTTTCTAGCTTGGCCTTGACAAGTGAAAACCACGTCGGAAAATTTCGCGTAACTTCCTCGACCAATTACGGGATCGAACCCCAGAATTTTGCTATAATGGCTCAAAAATAGATAATGTAAAATGAAAATATTGGAAATTTCATTCAAATTACTTGATTCTTAGCCAAGTTATCACATAGTGGTAACCCAGGGCACTGGTATATTCGAATTTAGCCTCGTTTTCCCATTTTTAGATTTTAATTTTAAAAACACTCCACGAGGGTGAAGTGGTTCGATGGTATATCGATATCGATTTCTATTTTATACTTTGTGGACGCTTGATACCACTTCTCATTTCACCAATTCGTATATTTAACAAACTTTCGTGAACATTTGTATTAGAGTAAAGGGCAGCCTGTATTATTTAATGATATATAGGTATGACGAATCATTTATGCACATGGAGGTATAGATAGACTAGTATTGCTCGAATATTGCATACAGTGCATAGCAATGCCGCGTTGCTATAGCAAAATAGACGCAACTCACCAAAGTTATTTTTAGCCTTTCTATACCTTTCCCTTTTTCCACCTTTTGCTTGGCGATCCTTGCAGACATTTTGGCGTAGAATCAAAGAAAAGGGCTTGAATATACATTTTATGCCGGTTTTTGGTGAATATTCGTGATTTTGAGACGGAAGGGTACGAGATTTGAGATGTTGGTTATGTTGAAATGTAGGGCAGACAGTTGTATTTTTTTTTTTTTTTTTTTTTTTTTGTATGCTACTTTCCAGTTTGTGTATGTCAAGTTTTCCATGATGGACCTCATACCTGCTTTTGAGCAAGCGGTAGCCACACGTTGCTTCATCTGTGGTAGAAATCGCTCAACCCCACGAAAGTTTGGGAAAAGAGCCGGTCTAAGAAACGAGAATTAAATACTTTAACATACATTAGTCTAACAATAGCCCAATTGTTGTTTTTATGCGACATTATCAAAGCAAAGTTAACTATTTTCTTTATGTTCTTTTTCAAAGAGTTACCAATGCAAATTACTAATGAATTCCATATCACTAAAACCATTTTACATAAGATTGCACAAAACAGGTTCTGGCGTCAAAAAAAAGACATCCGATTAATCGTGACTACTTCCGTTCTGTTCTGTAAACGATTCCATAGATTGTCATGGAAGTAAAGATACTGTGTCTTAAAGAACAATTATTAGATAGTCGAGTTGTATTTGTCAAGGATGTTCTATGTCACCGTCGAATAATCTTTTGTCTGCGCTGAAGTATCATGCCACATAAATCGATTTCGGCAATTTCATTTGATTTTTCGAGGTAACTTTCTTCTGTACACCAACAGAGGTGTACCACGTAAAAGAACCCTTGGCAGCTAAAATTCGATATAAAAGTAGGCGGTAGCGCCACTGTCCGGACAAAATTTTCCCCATAGTGCATTGTATGGCGTATACCTGTCTTCATTAGCCCTGTCGGAGCAGAACATTGGGACGTTAAACCCCATTTCATTTTTAATTTATTCTTTATCTGGAAAATGCACCTTTTTTCGTGACGCTTCACGTACGTGACAAATATAATGAAATGGGGTTATACGTCCTTCTTTTAAACACAATAAAAAGTAAACCTTTGTGAAGAAACCATCAGTAAAGTTAGGACTTCTCCCAGGTTTTAGGTTGTTTTTTTTTTGCACCATAACCTTGATTTATCCATTTGTACCGTTTCTTTTTCAAGCATTTAGTCGTCTTTTTACATTTTTAATATTGAAAGTCATTAAAGTCGTTAATTGTCCATTTTTTTACAATTTGCTAACAATGCAAGTTCTAAGGATGCATAATAATGTAACATTTAGATAAAAAGCTGACAGTTCTCGCTATAATAGTTTTAAAAAACCCAGATAATTAGAATGGAATATGTTAAAAATTTCAGTCAATTTACTTCATTCTGAGCTAAGTTGGGGATATTTAAAAAGCGGATCACGATCTGCTTCAAAACGACGCAGATTGTCACGGGACGTCACGAATCTGACATGTTTCTGATCCGCAGTCATGAGCTTTGGCGCCTATCTTGCAGACACTTTTGTCATTCTTAACTCGTTGGCGAAAATATGCTCATCCATCTCATGAGAGATGCACGCAATATGTCCAGTGGTCAATCGTCGATCAACCATCGGTCATGTCATGCACCCGAGTAATGTTTTCTTGAATATAATCGAAACGTCGTGCTTGTGTATAATAAACCAGTGATTGTTGTCCCATATAACTGTATAGTTTTGTTATAGTTTTGTTTTCTTGAATGGTTGCTGTCGATGGCCTTCTAGGATGTGGGTCATTGTCAAGGCTCTCTGTCACGCTTAAATTCCGCTGCCCATTTCTTTACTACCGAAAAGGATATGTTATTCACTCTAAAAAACAAATATCCGCTATTTATATACTGCACGATTATTATTGCATTTACATGTAACATGATAGCATTTACATGTAACAAGATAACAATATCAATATTAATTGAACTAGATCAATATTGAATTTTACTTTGTGTTTTTAATTTCGAATATTATGGAAAATAATGAGTTAGAAACATAACTCCTTCAACATATTAATATATTATATGTATAAATAAAAGTATAGGCACATGTTTGATTTGTGTTATCCTATATAAATATGTGGATCGTTGTTGTGCTATTCTAAAAGTAAGCAAATTCCCTCTGCACCCCTCTCCATCGCTGTGAAGTTTTTTCGTTGATCTGCGCCATTAAACTGCATAAGTTATACAGCCCTACAGATTGCTTCACATCAGTGTCTGCGTTAAATAAGCAATTCTCGTGCACGATAAACCATCGTCGATAACACATCGGAGAGATTTTGATTTGACAGTTTTTACGTATTTTTGAAACCGGTTTCGAAGTGTTTTGGTTCTGTTGTGCAAGATATTTTTCGACGTTCCAAAGTAAAAGTTCGGTGCTAAGACCACCTAAAAGATACATTTTAAATGTTCCTATTATTAATTAGAACAGGTTTCGTTTTAGTTTTTATATTTTACGCTGACATTTATTGCTTTAAATCGTCCAAGTGCAAAAACGGAAAATTTGACCTTTTGACCTCCGGGGTCACAAAGAACAAAGGTGAATTTAGCAAGTTTAAATTTTTATTGAAAGTGTGATTACTTTCGATCATTTACAGCATGTTTTGATGATACAAGAATGGCCACACATTCACTTTCAGTGTAAATGACCTCATCTGACCTTTGACCCCGAATATCTCAAAAACTCCCCATAGGAAAGGTGGGTTTGGTTTTGTGTCCATTTGATGGACCCTCCCCCCGCACTGAGACTCTAGACTATGGCGAGAAATCAGACAGTCAGCAAGAATCTCTGGTGTATACAGGGCTTAAGATTTGCAACAAATATTGCTTCTGTTGTCAAGTTGTGTCATTCAGTTTGTTTGCAGATTGCTGTTTAACTTCAGAAAAAAAAATATGAGCGGAATTGAGTAAACAAACCAAAAAGTACCCATACATTGTCTCTATATAGTTTTATACCGGAAAATTTGCCGCCTACCATAACATTCTTCCTCAATTTAAACTCATGTAAGGATACAATATGGCAACATAACAGTATACACCTGCTGAAAACAATGGACAGCGAGTTAATTTAAACCATATTTGGGACACAGCATACCTTCAATGTTAACACATCGATTTCTCTGACTGGTTATAACGGGTTTAAAGGGAAACCTTCACTAAAAACAATGTTGTCCCATTTAGTTGTGATAATATTTTAAATTTATTTACACGAGACAAATAAATCACTTACTCTTGATGTCATGCATTAAAGAATCCGGCATGTGGAATCGAATCCCGAGTTGCTGTAAGTTGTTGGGTGTCTTGTAAGAAGGAGGGTATTGAAATCAAGCATGCACTCATTTTGTCTTATTGTAGCTCGTTTGTCGGATTTCTAAAATGTCAATTAAAGAATCCAAAAGAAACTATCTTTCAACCCCAGAAGCGCAGCTTTGGTGGGAGTATGTGGCGTTGGGGTGGGGCTACTCGTTTTTGAATGCTGCACCTTTGGTCTAATTTATTGAATAATGATTACAAAATTGTCAGGCATGTATGTTCATTGAATACTTTAAAATGATAAATCCTACAAAAATGGTGAACCAAAACTATAATTTGACTGCGTTCATATAGTTGTATTTTCACGATCACGCCACTTTAAGTTTGAGAGCATTCCCCTATAACGGTGGCTCGTGGGTAATGTTTATCAAATCGTCTATCACTAGATTTCTCACTAATCCTCTTCCCGGTAAAAGTTGGCAAGGACACAGATAGATTTTCTACTTCTGTCTCCATGTTAACGTTTTATTAACTTTCAATGTCATTCTTTCTGTTGAGTTGAGATCAGCTGAAACCCTTTAGCGGAATATAGGATATTATGTAGTCTCGATATTATTACGTCATGCGCGCTAGCACTACATCAATTTAATGATTTTTAGAGTCAAACAATTTATGGTAAGTCAATTTTATATCTACTTAGATTTAAGACACGTATTTGATTATAATTGCACGCGCATAATAAAATTGCACTGCTTTTCGTGACTATCAAATGGTAATTTTATATATTACGGCAAAGTATGCTAGAGTTTAAAATATCTAGGATTTCCCTTGTTGGTTTATAGTTGTAAAGATGTTAGCCGTACTAAATCATGGGACATGAATTTATATAAGTTTGTATCAGTATTGTATATACTCATGTAATCGAAATAAAATATTGTTTAAACCATAATGATGTATCTTGCAATAACCGTCCGTAGATATACTTCATATACAAAATGTGTTATACCTTGGATTAAGGATAATGAAACATCTTACGTGGCCTTGTTTTATATATCAACGCTGCTGATTCTCATTTTTCTTACGACATCAAATTTTTCACGGACCAATCCATATGCGTACTTAGATTGATGAATTAACATTTAATTAAGAAAGCAAATTAGACCCTTGAAGCCCAGGTGCCGTCTAACAATTTAATATCGTCATTTATGGCATCAAAGAGAGAGAGAGAGAGAGAGAGAGAGAGAGGGGGGAATGGGGTTTAACGTCCACTCAACACAAACTAGGTCATTTCGGGACTAACATATGGTTTAATTTTTATTTTAATAATTCGCTTGCGCGTAGGGGTCTTTAGCAGTGGGAGGAAACCGGAGGACCCGGAAAAAAACCCACGAGGTTGGACAGGCGACCCTACTCCTTGTCACGTACAGCCGGGGATTCGAAACCACGCCAGTTGACACAATGACAGGCCTTATGATACAGCGCGTACGTGCTAACCATTCGGCCATCCCCCCCCCCCCATTTATGGCATCAATGAAATCTTTCAACATTATATCGTCATTGAAATCTTTCAACATATATCCAGATTAATTAAAGTAATGATGCATAATTTGCATTTTTCGCTAAAATATCAAATTTCTCACGGTTTAATCCACGCTAATGTACTCAGATTTATTATTTACCATAATTTGATTAAGAAAGCAAAATCAAAATACCAACTCTAGATAACACCTACATAGCTTTGATTCGAATTTAAAATATGCCAATTAATTCTGTTCACCAACAAGAAAATGGCGATGGGATTTTAAAATAGTGAACATCATAGATCGATGAAATTTCAATTAAACATGTTTTTGTAAATACAGAATGGAATTGAACATACCTTTGTAAATATTGACGGTTTTCAGTAAACACGGAAATAACACCCACTTTGTCATCTACATATAAAAGATTATATACATTAAATCCTTTTAAGAGTAAATATGGATTAGAAAAAAAAAAATGGTGTTAAGCGTCATACGTTTCTGCACCGACAGAAATATAGGTTAACTTTTAAACATTTTCGCATTTGAAAAGGTGTCTCATGACAGAGAGAGAAATGGGGTTTAAGGTCCACTCGACACAAACTAGGTCATTTCGGGACTAACATATGGTTTAATTTTATTTCAATAATTCGTTTGCGCGTAGGGGCCTTTAGCAGTGGAAGAAACCGGAGGACTCGGAGAAAAACCCACGAGGTTGGACAGGCGACCTTACTCCTTGTCACGTACAACCGGGGATTCGAAACCACACCAGTAAAGATACTTATTTTGTTAAATTGCCAAATAAATAATTTAATAAGATAATATTAATAGCCACGTATGATTCAACTTTAATGAAGCTCGATTGATAAATGTGAAATGCTTTTAAAAATAGGGACATGCAACATTGTCTTTTTCTCGACAACAGCTCAAGTTAGAAAGTAATTTTGGCAAAGGTTGCTGTAAGTTTATGAAAGCTACGAATACATAATTCAAAATATCAAAATGATAATACATTTTAAATAGTGCATTTGTACACTTTGTCTTTTGTTTTTTTGGGGGGGTTGGTTTTGTTTTTTTTTTGGGGGGGGGGGATAAAATGAAATGGGGTTTAACGTCAAAATGTATATTGGAAATGTCATATAAAATCAATCACTAAGAAATGTATGTATATTCAATTTCCTTCCGATATCATTAAAACCAGTTGTTATATCTCACAATTTATTCTACTGACAGTAAAAAAAAGTGTATTTGCTTGGTGAGATGAAAATGAAGGGAGACAAAGATGTTGATTTGTTTAGATTGTTTGGTGTGTAAATTTGAACAGTGTATGCAAATGTCTGGAGAAGTACAACTGGACGTAGATTTCGCCTACTTCATCCTTTGTGGTGTTTTCTTCTTTTGTTGTTGAATTATGTGTGTTGAACAACAAGTGTACAGTTTAATTGTTGTCACCATGTTGATATCTTGTTTTGTCTTCAATCACGATGCCTTTGTCATTAAAGAGACACAACAAAGTATCGTGTCAAATTGTACAAACGTCCTCATTCATGATATTATTCAGTTTTATATAATAGACCTATATTGTGCCAGTCACGTAATTATAGCGTTAAGCAGGATCTGGAGTCCTGGGTGGGGTACATGATTCATAAACAGAACATTCACAAGATCGTCACTAACTTATATAAGGATGTGGTGGATTTGTTAGTCCAAACAAAACATCGAAGTACCGTTTAGAGATATTCTCAGATATAAGCTACAATGGACCCTGTGCCACAGAGACTATACAAACTATTTGAATGCCCTTATCGCACCTTGAGTGCCTCCCAGGGCCGAATGCTGCGCTATGCATGTACTGTAGAAGGTTATACGATGACGTATGGTAGTACATGTATATTAGGTGTGACAAAAGTGGAGTAACCTCAAACAAATTGCAATAGAAACCAATGCAATTGGGTATCATCAGACATCATACTCAAATTCGGCCGAAGTCGACCAAGGTGAAATGACGTAATTAGCATAATTCAACGGAGGTTTCAAGGAAGTATCTCGTAACCAGTGCGTTTTAGTGGTGGTGGGACAATAAATAGATTTTTTTAAATTTTTACAATGAAAATTAGATATAGAAACAATATGTACCGTAGAAAACAAGTTTGACCAAACAAATTTCAAAAAATGTATTTTTCATATTGCGCCAGTCATTTCTTTCAAAGTGGCTGACAAGTTTGGTGATGAAAATAAAATCGCATTGTCCCCATACATAACTAGTCACTATCTTGTAAGATATGACTTTTACTACATGTATATCTTTTATATAGTTTTCGATGTCTCTGAATTTAAAAATGAATTTGGAAAATCCAACATGGCAGAAATTAAAAAGTCAATTAATTAATTGTCATTTTTTCCTGTTGGATGTCTTTAACATGGTTATCGATGTCCAAATTGGCGGATTTTTAATTAATCGTCATTTTCTTTCGTTGGATATGGCTTGTAATATGTCTTATATAAGGTTTTTGTAGTTACAGAGCTCAATTTCGTCCCGAAAATCTAACTTTGAACAGCCTAGACTGTGTAAATTGAAGACGGCAATTAAAATAGAATCCATAATGGCACCATTGCTTTTAAATCTAATCAGGTTTTCGGGGTTATTGAATTCTATTTCGGGTTTAAAAATTAATTTAAGAAATCCGAACTTCTGTTAAGCGTTCTTTTTCTTTAGTGCAATTTTTGTTTCTTCATTTGGTATGTCTTTGCACCATCTTCGCCGGAGTTAAATGTTGTTTCGGTATATCCAGTCGTTTAGAATACACATCCTAAATAATTTGTGCAACAAATACACGTTATTCCAAAGATAGACAGAAAGAAATCGTGTTCTGATTTTGTTCTTAACCAGTATCAAACATATATCGTGTCTCAGATATGTTACAAATCGCCTCAAGCATGGTCCACACAACCCTATACATTTATCGGCATCGGGATTAAGGGTATATATCTTTTTTATCTAACGCTAATTGGCATATTTCAAGCTTTACTATGTTTTAAGGAATAATTGAGATCATCCGATTCAAACCTCATCTCCGCTTTTTGTTCATGCGTTAGGCTTAGCGCCCGCTTTCGCCAACAATAATATCGCAAACTTAGTGTTCAATCTATAAAAGCCAAGTCCAGTGAAACAAGAAAATTCATAACTATGCGGGGTGAGTAAATTCATGTTACCAAATCTGAATAAACTAATAGAACAATACAACAATTTCACCTTGAAGTTGCACCCAACCAGGGCATGTTCGGGAATTTTAGCAGCTTGGTTACCAAGGTTGGGGCATCGTCAAGTTTGACCAGAGGTTTAGGGGATTACCGGAGAATCTGGTAAAATCTGAGACAATTTTTCTGCTCATTTAGGTGCATACACATATATGTATATGATGAGGGTGTAGTGTGGCCAACACGGTGGCAATGATTCGCACGTTTTATTCCATGTATAGGAACATAAGTTAACAGTGTGTAATTCAAAACTATAATCGGATCATTGTACAAATAATAATATTGATTTACTCGACGTGACTTACGCACAATGAGCTCTAAAATCAGTGAGGTAAGAAAATCTACCTATGACATCTGCCGAAATCCCTCCAAGATTCCAGAGAGAGATTCGAAGACGAAATATAAATTGCAATATCATTACATTCTATAATTATAATACTCAGTTCTATGGAAGAATATAATTTATTGTCTAACACTGTGATTATAAGCAAGACAATTATTATTATTATTATTGTTCGATTTATATAGCGCTTCATTACACGTGAAGTGTTTCTAAGCGCATATCACAAACATATACTTCAAAGGTTTATATCCAACAAATCAACCGGCTAATCTCTATATTGAACTCAGTCGAGGTATTACCTGATGAACACCTACACCAAGTAGAGTTCAAAAATAAAAACGAAGTTTAAAAGAATCAACTTCATTAACAAAAATTAAACAATCAAAAACTAAACTGATAAATCAAATTCAAACGAAACAAATAAAACAAAGAAAATGAAAAGAGCAGTTCATTACCATTCTACATTAACAAAATAAAGGAAATCAACTTGTGAAAATTTGTTAAAAAAATAAGAGCAAAGTAACACTAATTTTAATACTTTTTTAACGAACATATCATAAATATAATTAATTTTACCTATAATATCTATTTCAGAAATCAGACTTTATTTTGCAAATAAAATAATCCAAAGAGTTGTGTACGACCATTATATTTAAACAGTATATTATGCTGTTATATATATGATAAAGTGAAAGTGATGAGAGTTAGAATTAATGTTAACAATTTGATAATTACTATATTTAATTTGTTAAATGTTGCCCTATGATAAAGTTGGATTCTGCTTTCTCTTGTTCAATCCATGCATCAACTGTTTCTATAGTTATGTCTAAAACATATATTATAAAACATCTCCCAAAATATTGCAAGTAAGATTAAGTACTGTTTGTACTAAAAATTTTACAATTCATATAATGTACATAAAGTAATAAACCATTAAACATGGTCAGGAACAATGTCTTATTTAGAAAATTAAACTACAATATATACTATTCAAAAAAAGTAGGGGATATTTGATTTTTAAGTGTTATTAAAGTCACCTAATGAAACTGACGAAGAAACAAATGACAAAATGAAATGAAGTTCACATTCATCGATTTATTCCAAATGATCGTTAGACTAAGTAAGGCACAGACTGACCATTATAAGGGTAAAATGATACCCGGGGTCAAACAGCAAAGTTACCACAGCATCACAACCAAGTCAGTAACGGGTAAATCCTCCTCTGTTTGCCAAACAAGCATTGATCCGACGTGGCATACTCCTAATGAGACGTCTAAGGTCATTTTGGTCCAGATTGTCCCATTCCTGTTGCAACGCAGCAGCAAGTTCTTGGACATTGGCAGGACGTTGTTGACGTTGACGTAACCTCTGTCCAAGCATGTCCCAGACATGCTCGATGGGGGAGAGGTCGGGACTCAGTGCTGGCCAAGGTAATGTGGTGATGTTCTGTTGTTGGAGGTAACCTGTAACGATCCTGGCCCTGTGACATCTTGCGTTGTCATCCTGGAAGATGAAACGGCGGCCATGACGTCGTGCGAACGGCACAACATGGACTGCCAAGATGTTGTCCCGGTAGTACTGGCCTGTAACAACATGTAAAGCCGTTCTTCCAGCAACAGTGATGCCTCCCCACACCATAACAGAACCACCCCCAAATCGATCATGTCTGATGACGTTAACGTCTTGGAAGCGCTCGTTTCGACGACGCCACACCCTCCTACGTCTGTCCAAAAAATCAACAGTGAACCTTGACTCATCTGAAAACATCACATTGCTCCAGCGTCGATTATCCCAGTGTTGACGATCCCTACACCAACGACGTCTTGCCCGAATGTGATGATCTCTCAAACAAGGGATCACGCGAGGACGTCGGGCGCGAAGGTGACCCCTATGCAGT